AAAAACTTATACAGCCATGGTCTTAGGCCATTTCTACTACAAGAAAATATTCAACACTGGGTAATTTATGAAGAACAAACGTTTCTTTCTCAGTTGGAAGCCTGGAAGTTTGAGATCAAGGAGTTGGCAGATTGGTGTCTGGTTGCTGCAGTCTGGCTGGGCACAAATCACGAGCCACTCAAGCAGGAACAAACTTTATTTCTGAACTCCACCAGCACACTCCACACACGCTCCCCAGGAACTCTCCCGAACGCCATGCAGCTCCTCCAGGAACCACCAACCGGAAATCCCTCCTCCGGCATTTCCCCAACTAATGGGAACTCTCTGGGAATTCCCCGAGAGAACTCCAAAGTAGCAGGCCAAAGTAGCAGGCCGAGGCGGACAGCAGGGGTCTAATATACACAGCTTAACATAACCATTATCATCTCAATGGCTTGCTGGCGTCACCTCTCAACCACTCCGTTCTGGCAAAAATGCCATGCCTCATTCGGACTCAGCTATGGCTCTCAGCATCTGGTGAGGACTACTGTTTTCAAGATGGTGCCACTTGCTGCGTCCTCACATGGCAGAAGAGATGGAAGGGCTAAGGTGCATAGCACACACCCTTCGACCTCTCTTACAAGGTCACTGTGCCGTTCAGGAGAGTTCTGTCTTCATCTCTTAGTCACTTCCTAAAGGCCCACCTCGTAGTGCTACCATGTTGGCAAATAAGGTCAACACATGAAATTGTGGGGGACACATTCAGACCACAGCGGCTGTTGGTGAGGCTCATGTCAACGCTTGAGATTGATCCCAACTCTGAATGAGTGAGGTCATTTACTATTGCAGTTCAAGTACAAGATGAGGGCTGACCCTGCACGAGGGTTCGTGGTGCCCATGAAGCAGCAACAGATGTGTAACTAGCATTTCAACAGCTAATGATGATTCTCCATGTCTAGGGATGCTTACTGCAGCCAGAAGCCTCACAGCAGGACTCCTGGATGAACAAAGTTATGCCCAGCGCAGGAGCATCCCAGGGAACACATGAGGGGCACCTTGCAGTGTGGGGACAGCTGAGGGTTCTGCTTACTAAGATGCCCCCCAGTGGACAGTGGGGTGTGTCTTAATAGTGTGCAGGATAGGTCCAGTTGTGTTGGACCATTACCATTATCACAGTGACGGCTGAGTGTTTGTGTTCCCCAAATCACGTGCTGAAACCCTGACCTGCTGTGGTGGGCAGAACTAGTTCCTTGGAGAGGGATGAGGTCAAGAGGGCAGAACTCTCACGGATGGGATCAGTGCCCTTGTCTTGCCTTCTTTCCTCCATTGAGGACGCAAAGAATGTCTCAGTCTGGAAGAGGGTTCCCAACAGCATTCTCCCCTGATGACAACCGTCTCAGATTCCCAGGCTGCAGAACTGTGAGAAGTCAGTTTGTTGTTTACAAGTCTCCTGGCCTGTGGTCTCCTGTTACAGCAGCCCTGTGGACTGAGACTGTCCCTGTGCTCGGCCACCCGGCCCAGGTGCTGTGGGGTTCAGCAGTGAAGAAGACAGACTAAGCATCTGGGCTGATGGTACTTGCCCTGTCGGGAACAAAGGAGCAGCTCAGCGCAGGTGCCTGATTGTGCAGAACAAAGGTGGCAGAGTTGGAGGGGCAGGCCGGTGGGCGCCGCCTTCTGGTGGGAGAACCTCTTCTCGGCTCCTTTTTCATCCATAGTCTTAGGTCTCAACAAGGTCCAAACTTCAGAGGGAAAGAAAGGGCTGCTTCTTATTGACCCCCAAACCTCCAGCGTACAGACCAACCAGGAAGGCCACTCAGACCCTGCGGCAGAGGAATAGGGTCCCTGTAGAGAAGGGATGTGGGTCCTGCAGTTGTTTGAGGCTGGAGTGGCTTTCTGTGCCCTGCTAGGGACATGGGCTCTGCCTCCCAATTACAGAGCCCTAGGCTAGTGACATGCGCATGCAGCCATGGAGATTAGCAGTGGCCAAGGAGGTGTGGGAGGTCATCTGTAGGTGGAGGGGTTTGGAAACCCCAAGTCCACCCAAGAGACAGAATGGTCTGCAGGCAGAAGCAAAGCCTGACTGAGACTGGTAGGAAGGACAGGAATCCAAGATGCCGGCCACCAGAAAGGCTCTGCTGGCACCCGCGGACCTCGCAGTGCTCCCTCCCACAGCTTGGGAGCCGTCCTGCCTGTGCACTGCTGGGACTGGGAGGCCTTGGCAGCACTGTCCGCTTTCCCTGCTCTGCAACCACCCAGGTGTCTGTCCTCAGCAGCCCTCCAGCCTGCGTCCTGAGTCGCATTTCCTTCTGTCTAGGTTTCTGCTCAGGGTCAGCATGATAACCATCTTATGCAGCAGTAAGCAGGCCACGCCTCCGGCTCGCATGGAGCTGTGCCCTAGGAGGAACCGTCCACCAGGAACCAGTGCACAAGAGGCTCGATGCGCCAGAGGTGATGATGACCTGGACTTCCCTGTGAGCGTCCTGCTTTCCAGTCCTCTGAGCTCACAACACGTGAACTGTGAGGACAAGTCACCTCCACAAACACTCAACCCTAGGACAGTACCCGCAGAGAAGACCTCAGTGTTTCTGGGATCCGTGAACGACTAGACCACCCAGGGTCCCTCTGCCGTTACCTCATCAGCTCCAGTATGGGAGACGAAGGGCAGAGGCCTTCACTCGCTTCTTATTTGCTTACAAGTCTTGTTTCCTGTTCAGAACTATAAATGGGTGCCCTCCTCTGCGCTTGAGACCTGAGCTGGTCATGCCGGGGTCCAGGAGCGGAGTCAGGATCCTGGGCCTGAGAGCTGAGGGTCAGGCACTGCTGTGCCATGCACGGTGAGGCCGAGGGGTATCCAGCACCCTCCTTCTCAGACAGAGTGCCACCTGTCCCTTTGAGTTAGGTATGATATAGGATGCCCAGTGCCCAGACAAATTTGCCCAGATCAGCAACAATATACATTTTTTTATATTGGGGATTGAACCCAGGGGGATTAACCACTGAGCCACAGCCCTTTTTATTTTTCAGTTTGAAACAGGGTTTCACTAAGTTGCTGAGGGCCTTGCTAAGTTGCTGAAACTGCCTTTGATCTTGTGATTCTCCTGCCTCAGCCTCCTGAGCCACTGGGATTACAGGTATGCACCACCCTGCCCAGCAACAACAATGACTTTAAAGGGTAGGTCTACCCGTTGATCAATATTTGAGGCATACATTTGCTAAAAAATGTTTACCTGAAATTGAAATTTAACAGTTCACTCTGTATCTTTATTTGCCAAATTTGATAATCTTACTTTTAAATGTAAAATGTATTAATATAATTGAAGATTCATGCATAGTTTAAATAACAAAGAACATTCTGAGCACATTTTGCCTGCTGAGCCCAGTGCTGTCATCTTGCAAATCTCCCCTGGTAGCTGGACCTCAGTGCGCCCATCTTGCTCAGGTTCCCGGTCTCTATCACCCATAATGTCCGATTGTCCACTAACCACTGTCAAGACATCAGACAGAATAGGTTCGTCCAGGCCACCTGGGTGCGAGGCAGAACACAGACACTTAGGTGCCTTCATCATTCAGTCCTGGCTTTCACGGAGGGAGATGAACTCATAGGTGCTTATTTCATTTTCACAAATAAATATTTATTAAAAGGCTCATGCAGGGGCTCACCACGATGATTTTTCTTAAAGCAAGGATAGCAATTGACTTGACTTGCTGCGCAGGACTCCAATGAGGAAGACTAACACAATGCAGTTCTGTAGCCATGCGGAGGGGGGCTGGGAGGGGGACAGGGGTGTTGCTGCGCCCCTTTTCCTGCTATTTAGGCTAGTCCTTCTCCACCTGGTGGAGAAAGTGCGACTGGGGTGCACCCCTGCATGGCACGAGCCACCGTCTCTCCTGAAGATGACTCACTCCAGAGAGCAATGCCCCTGTTTGCCCACCAACACGCCAAAGGCTGCACATTTCCAAAATCTGCTAAATTAGCATTGTCATTTGGGGGTGGGAGTCCTTGCATCTTATATAGTCAAGAATGGCTTATTTTATCCTATTTTTATTTTGCATTTCTTTAGATTGGATATTTCCCACAAGTTTGCTAGCCTTCTGAGCTTTTTCTTTGGGGAAACACTGGTTCTGGTCCTTAGCTATATTTTTACTGGGACAAGGTGATGAGGTTACCTTTAACTAACTGACTTGTGAGAGCATTTTTGTGCATGAATTGTTAGGAACGTTACTAATGTAATGTTCTTCATTGTCTCTGATTATAAACTTGGTAGAAAATTGTCTGGGTCTTGCACATCTTTTATTTGCCATTGCTCTTGAAATTCACTAGGGAAGTGTGTGTGTTTCCCAGAATCCTCCTGTGCTGCAGGACAGACACGGTGCCCACGGAGCTGCAGACAGAGGATGTGTCTCAGGACAAGAGTTTCCTTCTCACCACCACCCTGCTCCAACTCTGTCTTCCCCGTGGCACAAAGAGCATTGAGACTCTTGCAGGGATCAACAAGACGCTCCTTGTACTTGAGGAATTATTTGACATTTCACTTGCCCCGACGTGTGAAAGATTCTATTGTCTACAGATTCCATTTCATTGTGAACCCTCATAAGGTCCTGCTAAGAAGCCTGCTTTTCATTTTCATCTATTATTACAAGCAATGTCCTCTTGCATTTTGAAGACAGTGTTTCAGTTATACATCCAGAAAAGAAGAGTCTGTGCATGGTAATCAGTTCAATGAATCATCAATCCTCCTTGCCTGGTACTTGGTGCCTCTATAAAGGAACTTCAAAGACCTCTTGCTCCCACATGAAGCACCTGGCTTCTGCATTTGTTAATGGTCAGCAGGAGGATGAATGCAGAGTGGACAGGCAGATTGAGCACAGTGTGGAAGAGGAAAGAGCGGAACGTGTCCAGCACAAGGGCTGCAGGAGGCCTGTCTTGAAAGACAGCATGAGGTTTCATGTTCTCCCACACTGCCTTAACGTCCTCCAGAAGAGACACCTGTTTAAAGCGTTTGCTATTTTTTCAAGTGAAACCCTTATGTCTTTAGAAACAGGAGAGGCTCTAAAGAGTTCACGCCAAGAAGTGGGCCCGCTCCTGAAGGGCACCCGCATGAAGCCTGCAAATGACGTGCCTCCTGGGCTGGGTGGCACCTACACTCCAACTTTATTGTTTTTCTTGTGTGGAGCTATTCACTGGGCACAAGAGTGAAGAGTGCTTGTCTCCAGTCATGCCAGTCCCGCCTCCTCTAGAGGACACCCCAGGGGGACCGACAGTGCCGAGAGTGGGTGGGGGGAGGGGCGAGGGGCTCACGGCTTTGGGTGTAGGATGCACAGGGTGCCATGTCCACACCAGGAGAGGAGGACAGTGAGGGCAGCAGTTGCCCAGGTCCAGCAGTGCCCCACTGCTGACTTTGGCATAAAGCACCGTAGTCAGGCCCAGGCACGCTCTGGGCATTTCTCTCCTGGACACAAAGCTAAAAGAGCCCAGCTGGGACAACCACCCCAGACTCAAGACAGCACCATTCTCCGTTAATAGGGCTGGCCCTCTGCTGGCCTTTCAGAGTTAGCAGCCCCCTCCCCCCGAAGGTTGGGCCTCTTCAAAACTCGAATTTGCCTGGCGCTCACCGACTCGGGCACCTTCCTGGCTCCCAGTGTGTTCCTCCTCTGCAGGTCCCTTCCCACCTACAAATGAGGTTAACAGCGTCCAGAGGGCCAGGAGTTGCTGACCCCTGCTGTCACTCCCGCTGCTCTGATCCACATCCCCAGGTAGGCCTGGTGCTTGCCTATTTCCTCCTTCTTTACTAAAATTTCTGGGCATTGGAGCAGCTGCTCTGGGATTCAGTGCAAACACCTGTTTGCTTGGGTCTGCGAGTCTCTGGCGGGCTCCGTCTGCACTGTTCACACGAGTGGCATTGGGATGGTGTTGGGTCAGCAGACTCAGGGTCTGGGCTCCCACCAGAGTCCAGTCGTGGCTCTGCCATGCAGCATCTGACTCCGTGGAGGCTGCAGAGGGTCAGCAAGTGGGAGAGAAACACCCCAGTGGAGTGAGTGACATGGCACAGCAGGAGGATGAAAAGTGGGTGGGAACCACCCCCAGGTACCCTCCGTGGGTGTCCTTTGTCACCAGCAAACGTAGACGCCCTGCCAATGGCCTCTACCTTTGCATAATTCATCTTCCCATAAGGAAGGCAAGCAAAGTGAAAAGTGTGTTTGCTCCCTTTTCACTTTGCTTGGCTTTGAGGAGCACCAAAGGCAGATGAGACTACACAATATGGAACAAGGTGGAGGGAAACGAGAACATGCAGCACCAAGACTTCACAATCGACACAAGAGTCAGTCTCACCTTCCTTCCTCTTAGCTAAGGCTGAGGTGTGGACCAGAGCGTGAGGGGCAGCCGCCTGCACACCCCGAGCATGAGACCCCACAGCTGCCATCCCAGTGGGAGCAGGAATCACTCCAGCCATGCCCCTCGGCCAGCTGCCCATTCCCATTTCTGGGTGGGTCATGGCCCATAGGTATTAAGCTCTGGTCAGTGCAGGCGGGAGTGCAGGTGCTGGGATGAGGCAGTACCAGACAGAGACCGCTCTCAAGGAACTTCAGTGCACTGGAGGGAGTGTCCAGTGTCCCTCGGTCCCACACTCAGAGCTTTCCCTGTTATCCCATCCCCACCAGAGTGGCCGTTCGTTAGCACCGGCCCACCCACACCCACATGGGATCACCGCCGAAGTCCACCGGCTGCCGTGGGTTCGCCTGCTGCCCTGTGGCGTGTGAAGGGACAAATAGTAAGGAAATGTGCCTGCCAGTAGAGCGCATGCAGATCCTACCTTCCCTGCCCAGAACCAGCCCACCATGCCCGGGCCTTCTCCCCGCCACTCCCTCCATCGCTGGCAGCCACTGACCTTCTTCTGTCCATGTAGCTTCTCCTAGGTGGTCACAGCACTGGTGGGCGTGCCCCTGCACCTGCACACACCTAGGTAGTCAGGCACTGGTTGGTGTGCCCCTGCACCTGCACACACCTAGGTAGTCA